CTCTTCTGCTGGAAGGTGGCTCAGCACCGCCACAACAAAAGTGACCTGGGCGACATGGACCTCATGCTGAAGGCATCTATGGTGGGAGACAGCACCTTGGAGGTGGGTGAGCTCCAAATGCCCCCAGGGTGTTGGAGGGAGGGATCCGTGGGCTGGTTCTCCAGCTGACCCCACCACTGTCTGCCTGTGCAGGACCTGCTGAGCGATGACTGCACCACGGGCAGTGGCTCGGGGCTGCCCTTCCTCGTCCAGCGTACTGTGGCCCGGCAGATCACACTGGTGGAGTGTGTGGGTAAGGAGAGAGGCTGTACCCACAGCCACCTTCCCCCAGTGATGGCACCAGAGCCAGGACCTGGGTGTCTCAGCCAAAACCCCACAGAGACCCCAAGTTCTCCCCCTGTGCTGCTGGTGGGATGAGGATGGAGTGGGTGGTGGTGGGTGTCACTTGGCCCAGGTCAACAGGTACCCTGTGATGCTGCACACCATCATGGGGGTGAGCAGAGGGGTCTTTGGGTGACATGGTGCTGTGGCCATGGCAGGCAAAGGACGCTATGGGGAGGTGTGGCGAGGCGTGTGGCATGGGGAGAGCGTGGCCGTGAAGATCTTCTCCTCCCGTGATGAGCAGTCATGGTTCCGTGAGACAGAGATCTACAACACTGTCCTGCTGCGGCATGACAACATCCTGGGTGAGCAGCGGGATGGGATGTGGTACCCGGGGTTGTGATACTCAAGGATGCGGTACCCAGGGATGTGGTACCCTGGGGATATGATACCCAGGGATGCTTTGGTGACCCTGGAGTAGCTGCAAAGTGGCTCCATGGTCACAGTTCCTCTTCACATCCAGGCTTCATCGCCTCTGACATGACGTCGAGGAACTCCAGCACTCAGCTCTGGCTCATCACCCACTACCATGAGAACGGCTCGCTCTACGACTTCCTGCAGAGGACAGCCCTGGATGTGGAGACCTGCCTGGGCTTGGCCTCCTCCATCGTCTGTGGCCTCGTCCATCTCCACGTGGAGATCTTTGGCACCCAGGGCAAGCCAGCCATTGCCCACCGTGACCTGAAGAGCAGGAACATCTTGGTGAAGAGCAACTGGCAGTGCTGCATCGCAGACCTGGGTGAGATGGGGGGACGGGATGTGGTACTCCAGTGTTGTGATATCCAGGGATGTGGTACTCCAGGGATGTGGTACCCTGAGGATGTGATACCCACAGACGCAGTACCCTGGGGATGTGGTACCCAGGGCCATCCTGCCCTAGAGATGAAGCATCACGCAGTCACAGCACGAGCATGGCCCTGACTGACTCCATCATCCCAGCATTTCCCAGTTGGCCTTGCCAATCTCCAAGGTCTCTTCCAACCCCAGTGCCTCTCTGATTCCCTCCTCAAGGGCTGGCTGTGATGCACTCCCAGGGCAGCGACTACCTGGACATTGGCAACAACCCCCGGGTGGGCACCAAGCGCTACATGGCCCCAGAGGTGCTGAGCGAGCAGATCCGCACCGACTGCTTCGAGTCCTACAAGAAGACGGACATCTGGGCCTACGGGCTGGTGCTGTGGGAGATCACCCGCCGCACAGTGGTGAATGGTGAGCGGCTCCGCGCCTGCTCCGGGCTCCCCTTCCCTCCTCTCTGCTCCTTTCTGCTCCTTTCTGTCCCTCTTTCCCTTTGCCCAGATTAGCTGTCAATTATAAACACTGTAATCTAGTGTCAGCACCCGGCTCCCTGATTAAAGGGCCCATTAGACTCAATCAGCGCTTTGTTTGTTCAGCGCTGATTAGAAAACAAGCAGCTTGGAGCTGCTGCTTGGAACCCGGCCACGGTCGGGACCTCCGGCCGGCGGGGCCTGGCTCGGGAGCACGGGCTTGGGGACAGGGACAGGGTCCCCAGCGCTGCGAAGGAGCCTCCTGCCCCTGCTCAGCACCAGCAAAGCCCATTGGAAGCATTAATGGAAGGGGGAGGCGGGAGGCTCCCCCAGGCGCAGTCTGGCCTCCGGATAATCTCATTTACCACCCCAGGGCTCCTTCACGTTAATCATTTCCCCCAAATTACCCAACCAAGTGCAGGGGTTGACCGTCAGTCAGCTGGTTTTAACCCTCACCCCCCTCCCTGCCACTGCACAGCCCCACGGCATCAAGGAAAGGGGCTCCAGAGGACCCCAAGGTGCAGGAGCCACCCCTCAGGGTGCAGGGGGCTCCCACCAGAGAGGTTAAACCCCGTGGACACACAGACATATGGAGGCACTAAGCTGAGATTAGCGGGGCCAGCAGGTGGGCTCATGTGGGTCTGATGTGGCACCAGGGCTGTGGTTGATGCAATTCCCACATGTACCCCATGGCACGGGGCAGGTCTGTTGTACCCCACGATGCATGGGGCAGGGGGTGAGCCTCGCATCCCCCCAGTGCCCTCACACTGCTCCCCATTCCCATAGGCATCGTGGAGGAGTACCGGCCACCCTTTTTCGATGCTGTCCCCAGCGACCCCAGCTTCGAGGACATGAAGAAGGTGGTGTGCATCGACCAGCAGACCCCTGTGGTCCCCAACCGCCTCTTCTCCGACCCGGTGAGTCCCGGGGGGGCTGCCCTGATCCCATTCCCACCCCATCCCATGACACCCATCCATGCTCCCCCCTCTTTGTGCCTGTGCCAGGTTTTGTCAGCGCTGGCAAAGATCATGAAGGAATGCTGGTACCAGAGCCCCTCTGCCCGCCTCACCGCCCTGCGCATCAAAAAGACCCTGAAGAAGCTGAACAATTCCCTGGAAAAGCCCAAACCGGAGCAGTGAGCGCCGGGCATGTGCTGGAGCATCCACGGGCTGCACTGGGAATGCTGCAAAGCTGACACTGGGATGGCTTCTGGTCACAAGGGGAGGTTGTTTGCAGCCGCTGCCTTTCCCACCCGTCCTCAGGGGCTTTATCATTGGCAAGGAGGGAGAAAACAGGGAAAACGGGAAAGCACAGGGAGGAATCTTGCAGGCCTGGATCCATCATCCAGCGCCTGTCCATTGGGAATGGCAGAGGCTGGCACCCACCGCGGCACCGCAGGCAGCGGGCGCTGCCCCGACCTGCCTGCCCGGCGCGTTGGCAGCGGGAATGCCGCGGGCTCGGCGGCAGCAGGAATTCCCCGGCAGGGCTGTGCCGCGTGGGCTGGATCTCAGCGGGAGAAGCGGGTCCAGAGGCAGCGTCCCCCAGGGCCAGGTCTCGGGGGTCCCCAGGACAAGGAGCCACCGGCACCGAGCATCCCCGGTGCTGCAGGGATGCGCCGAGCGCCGGCTCCCGCAGCCAAGGGGCCTGATTCTTCCCAAGGGGCTCCCCACATTCCCCCCTTTCCAAGCCCTTTTGGGCTTTGCCAGCTTTTGGGTGTTTCGGTGCACCCTTGCGGCCAGCTCCAGCTCGCACCGCTCGCCACCATCCCCAAACCCACCCCCCGTTGAGGGCTGTCGGGCCAGGACTGTGATGTTCCGCAGCCGCAGCTTTGCTCCAGTTATTTAATGATTAAGATTTAATATATTTAATAAAGTGTAAAGCTATTTGATCGCTGAAGAGCTGCCAAACCTGCCCCGTCGGGCACCGAGGCCACGCAGCAGGATGGGACCCTGCAGCCCGGCGCTTCCTTATGGCTTCAGTTACTGCTTCAGCACCGTGTATCGCTCCGCATCCCCCAATAAACCTCGCTCCAGCCTCATCCCAACCCTCTCCCTGCGCCCGCGAGGGACTGGGAACGCACCGGATGCTCCCGTGTGCTGGGGTCCGCACCGCCCGTGGTCCAGGGTGAGTTCCTGCTCCCAGTTAGGGATTGGGAGGAACTGGGAGCTGCTGGCCCTCGGTGGGGCTGGCAGTAGGGTGAGAGGTATGTGGGGCTGAGCAGGGCAGGGGTGCCCTGGCCAGGCATGGCTCAGCAGCACACCCGCACACGTGTGTGCACGCATGCACAGCTGATGCACATGCAAATCATGCGTGATTGCAGGCACACAAATCATGCATGACTGCACACACATGTACATATGTGTAGACACACACAACCATGCTCGGCTACATGTACACACGTGTACATACATGTATATACGTGTACACACACACACAACCATGCACGGCTGCATGCACACACGTGTACATACATGTACACACACACACAACCATGCACGGCTGCATGCACACACGGTACACACATGTACATACGTGTACACACATGTACATACGTGTACACACACAACACCATGCACGGCTGCATGCACACACAGTACATACATGTACATACGTGTACACACACACACACCCATGCACGGCTGCATGCACACACGGTACACACACGTACATACGTGCACACACGTACATACGTGCACACACATGTACATACGTGCACACACACCCATGCACGGCTGCATGCACACACGGTACATACACGTACATACATGCACACACATATACATACGTGCACACACACACAACCATGCACGGCTGCATGCACATACGGTACATACACGTACATACGTGCACACACACGTACATACGTGCACACACATGTACATACGTGCACACACACCCATGCACGGCTGCAGGCACACACGGTACACACACGTACATACGTGCACACACACGTACATACGTGCACACACACCCATGCACGGCTGCAGGCACACACGGTACACACACGTACATACGTGCACACACACGTACATACGTGCACACACATGTACATACGTGCACACACACCCATGCACGGCTGCAGGCACACACGGTACACACACGTACATACGTGCACACACATGTACATACGTGCACACACACCCATGCACGGCTGCAGGCACACACGGTACACACACGTACATACGTGCACACACACGTACATACGTGCACACGCACATGCGAGGCCCGCCCCACATGGGGGCGCGTCCCCTTTAAGGCTGGCCCCGCCCCGGCCGCGCTCCGCGCTCGCCCCTCCCGCAGGCTCTGGCGGCCGCTCGCTCCGAGGCCGCGGCGCTCGCCATGGCCGCTCCCCCGCCGCGCCGCGCCCGCCGCCGCCCCCCGCCGCCCCCCGCCGCCGTCCCGCTCCTCGTCCTGCTCCTCGTCCTGCTCCTGGCCGGGGCGCTCGATGGGGCCCGCGGTGAGTGGCGGCCCCGGGCCCGGCCCGCACCGGGCACAACATGGCGGCGCGCCGCCCCGCCCCCGCCCGGCGCCGGGAGGGGAACCGGGGGGGATCGGAGGGGAGGCGGGGGGCGAGGGCAGGAACCGGGCGGGGGGGGTCTGGGGGGGCTCCCGGGGGTGTGGGGGGGAGGGGGGGCAGGAGGAATCGGGGTGATCCAAGGGCGGGTCTGGGGGGGTCAAGGCCCCGGGTCCGGGGTGCGAGGGGGACCCACGCGGGGCGGGGGGGGCACCCCCGGTGCGTGCTGGCGCCTCGGAGCCGGCCGCTCGCCTCGGCTTGGCTGGGAAGAGCCGGCGTGTCCGGAGGGGTAACGGTGGGAAACGGGATTGAGGGGACCTGAGGAGGGGGGGGGCACCGCGCTGTTGTTGCTGAGGCCTCAGGGGGTTGTGGCCTCAACCCATGGCGCTGAGGGGGGCTCGGTGCTGTCTGTGCTTGCCATGGAGCCTCCTGGGGTGTGCGGGGGGGTGGCTGGGGTTCCTTCGAACGGGAATATTGGGTTATAACGGCCGTGAACGGGGGCAGACTGTGCGCTGGGGCTGGCTGTGCTTCCCCTTCGCCTGATGGGGATGCGGGGTGGCAGCCCCACGGTTCTGGACAGCCAGGCCCTTTTCCCCAGGGATCTCTGAGCATCCCCTGGTGGGGCTGGCGGCATCCTCGGCTGCCCGCAGCCCATGGCTCTGTGGCTATCGGGGGCCATCTCCGCTTGTGTCAGGCAGGGACCTGTTCCAACACGAGCCGAACGTTTGTTCTCCTCCCCGAGCCTCTCACCCTTCGCGTTGTGTGTTCCCAAGCGGCTGCTAATAACTTTGTGTGTGCAGATCAGGACTTGTCAGTAGCAGCCAACGGCTTTAAACCCCACTGGGGCTGGAGGTGAGGGCTGGATGCCGGAGCCCTGTTGAATGTGGGAATGCAGACGCGCTTTAGGGAAGAGCGGCTCTGCTTTATGAAGGTAAAAGCCAGCCTGGGGAAGGTGTTCCAGCTTCGGTGTGTTAATGGCACCCATGCTCATCGCGCTTCGTATGCAGCCGGTGTTTATGCCAGAGAAAAAGCAACAGGAAAGGGCCAGTTGACTGCGTGCATCTCCTGCAGGCTCTCAGTGCTTTGATACTGGGCTCCTATGGCTGCTTATTGTTTCCGCTCCGCGCGTGCTGTGGCTGGAAGGTGGGAGCTCCGCCTGGGCTCAGGATGGCCGGGAATGGGGGCTCCCAACCTGGGAAGTGGCTGCTGCTGGAGCAGCCATGATGCCGCTGCCTGTGCTTGATCTTAGCAGAGGAGGGGAGCCTGGAAGACCGGCCTGATCCCTGTGAATCTCGGTGGGCATCTGTAAACAGGGGAGAAAGCAGCCCCCATGCTCCGTCCTTTAGGAAAGGGGGAAAGGTGCCTGTGCAGTGGTAGTTCCAGAGCAGGTTGGCTTTGTTTGCACGCTTGAAAGAGGGCAAAGGAACACCGTGGGGAGCAGCCTTGGGCCGGCTTTGATGCGTAACAGCCCCTTAAAGCAAAGCCTTTACCCCGCTCAGTCAGGCAAGCTCCATGTGGGCCCTGAGTCCCATCTTGCAGCTTTCCAAGCAGGGCTTCTCTGACTGGAAATGAACAGCGGGGCCCAAGAAGCATTCTTGGACTCCCCCAGCCCCGTGGCCGGGCAGCTCCGGCTTGGCCGGTGGTGGATGCTCCGGAAACGGCTCTTGCGAAAGGCCTGCAGGGAGACGTCAGCTCTCAGAGCAGCAAAGTTCACTGGGTGGTGACGGTGGAAACGGGCTCGGCACCAGCAGGTCCCGGCAGCCCCAGGAGGAGTTACAGGGGGGAAGCGTTGGTGCTGAGCGCTGGAGTCAGGTCCTGGGCTGGGAGCGCTCTTTTGTCCTCTCTGGTTAAGCCCTTGGCTTTCCAGCCTCTCTTTCCTTGGATCCTGAACCTGGATTTACTTCTTTTCTCACCCTTCCTTAAGGTTTGCTGCTTAGAAATGACCTGTGGGCTGCTGGGGGTTGGAGAATAGGCTGCACACGGAACAACTTGGGATTTAGGCTCTGAAAAAGCCACTGTCCTCAGAATACAGCTTTGGGGTTAAGCTTTGAGAGCTTAAATAGTGACCTCTGTGGTTTGCAGGACTTCTCCACAGGGATGGGATGGGATGGGATGGGATGGGATGGGATGGGAGGCTTTTAAACTGGTTTCCTAACAAGTTAAAACACAAAAGAGGTGCCAGGACAGAGCCTGGAGAGGGGGTTTGGAGCTGTGTGTCTCCAGACAGCAGCAACAGCAGAAATGTCAAGGCCTTCTTCTCATGAACCTCTTCGTGAGGAGCCTCCTGTCAAGTCACTTCTTTAAGAGCCATTTAAAAGTCATTCCTTTTGTGTTCCTTGAGTAGATGCAGGGAAAGGTCTTCCCTTTCAAGGTGAAAGCACGTTCTTCCTGCCTCGTTTCCCATTCAGGCTATGTTTTGTAGTCAGCCATGACAGGTTCAGCCTGTGCCAGGGGACTGCAGCCAGCTTGAAGAAGTTGGGTCTCTTGTTTCCAACTTGAAATATCCCTGGTATAATTTTTAGTTCCTGGATGACTTGCATGGAAGTGCTTTTTTTCATAGGACTTGGTAGCTAATTTTAACTCTCTCATTTAGCAGCAGGGCAGGAGTTCTCAGAAGCACGAGCAAGGAGCGAAAGAGATGTTGAGATCCGAAAGGAGGAGAAGGTGGTGCAATATGTGGGGAAGGGGCAGCAATATGTGGGGAAGATACTTGAGGTGGTGGTGCTGTACCTACAGAAATCAGTTCTCAGCAGCTCCTTTGTCAGGAAACAGGGGCACTGGGAGCATCCAGAACTGGCCTTGCGCGTGGTTTTGGAGCTGGTGAGTGTAGGTGAGTTGGCTCTGAGGCTTGGAGGAGATGCTGGTGGGCCATAGGAGGGGACATCTCCAAGGGAGGGATGTAGGGATCCCAGCTGCAGCAGCAGAACTGAAGGGAATCTGTTGGAAAAGAAAGGAAAGGCTTCCTCAGGGGCTTTGGGTGGCTCATCCCTGCCTTCGAGAGTGGAGTTTGTTCTCTTGAAGCCCTGCTCTCGGGGTGGTCCAGGTGAGGAGGAGCACAAAGAAGCTCCTGGAACAGAGCTCTGCTCCCTCACCACAGGGGAGTGGATTCTGTTCCTAACCTGCTCTTGGGCAAACCACTCTGTGATAAAGGTTATTCTTCCTGTCTTTCTTCCAGCACAGCACATAGCAAAACACTGAAAGGGATTCCTTTCTTCCAAGCGTGTTTACACACGTCCCTCTTCATTAGAGCATCTAAAGAAGCAGCAGAGGTACAAACCCAGTTGTTTTCCATGTCTCTTGCTGCAGCATTAAACCATCACGACCAGCTTGGGGCTCATTAAGTTGGGTGCAGCTCCTGGTCCAGAGTAAGGGAATCATTGTTCTTCCAGCCTCAATTCCAACTTGGAAAAGAACAGCAGCTTCCAAGCCTGCAAAACTCTTTATCTGGTAAATATGGGGGTGGTTATTGGCAGTTTTACCACCGATCGTCCTCAGGTTATTTATGTGAACACGTCTCCAGCAGGTAGGATTTAGCCCTGAGCAAATGGCATCTTGCAGAGCACAGCTTCAGGAGCATTGGGAAGATGGATTCCAAAGGGTGGTTAACACCATGCTATTGCGTTTTGCTGTGGAACTCTTCCCCTGCCTGGCTGCAGAGACATCTTGACACACACAATCCTGGGCGAGAAGAGCTGTGCAAAATGAGCTCAGAGAGATGCTGAGGAGAAAAAAGGAATGTTCTTTGCCTGTCAGAGCTTCATGTTTGAGTCTCCCTGGAGCCCAGAGCTCTAAGCCACAGCCCCCAGCTGCTTGTTTGGAGGCATTTGGGGAATACAGGTTACTTTTAATGGGGAAAAAAGGGCTTCACTGGTTTTCTTCTCTGCTGTAGCTAATGCAAAGGGACACCGATACCTCTGTGACAGAGTCAGCTGCACGAGGGAGGCTGGAGCTGGACTTCAGCTCCTACCCAAGGATCTGACCATCTATACCTGGAGGTTATGGCCAGGAACCCAACCCTGGGAGCAGGAGCAGCTCCTAGGCCCAGCACCAAGCCTGGGCTGTGTTATGGAGGATCAGGAAGAGCTTTTGGCTTGTGGCAGTGCCAAGCAACCATTCCAGTCGTCAGGAAGAGCGGGGAGGACAGGCCCTGGGCTGGCTCAGTGCTGTGCTTGCTGTCACCTACCTGCTTGCTGTCACCTGCCTGGGATTGAATGGCAGCAAGGGTTTGCCTCAATATAAACCCCAACCTGATCCAGCTCCTGAGTGAGAACAAAGCTTTCCTTCTGAAGAGCTGCAGCTTAATGGTAGGCTTGTTTAAACAGCTTCTTTGAAGGGTTGGGTTTGTCTCTGAGCAGATAGAGGAGGCTCTGCTGCCAGCTTGTGCAGCACCTTCCATGCAGACTCATCCCCAGGCGTTCCGAGAGGGGAACTCGCTGCCTGAACTGCTCTTTTGTTTCCCTTTGCCCCATCTATTTTCTTCAGCCCAGTCAGTTGCTTTTATTAAGTAGATTATATGTTCTGCTCAACAGGAGCTTTTCTTCCCCAATAGAAGGAATGCCATTGGCACGAAAACCACTTTGATTCACTCCTCGTGTCCTTCTGCTTCACCCAGGCGTCCCCGGCTGCTCTCATAGCACCCATGGGATGCCTGGTGGGGGCCTCGTATATGTGTCCATCTTCTGACCTGACCCCCAAATCCAGTGGGAAACAGCAGTTGCTCTCTCCTGTTCCTGATACGAGAAGAACTTTTGCCTTGTGGTTAGTCAGACTTGAAGTGCTGGAATCCTCCTCGCTGCTGGGAGCGGGCCCCTTCTTCCTGCAGCACTGCAGCCAGTGGTAGGTGATGCTTAAGGAAGATATGTCTGTAGTGATGGTAGATGTAGATCCTGGGCTTTTCCATCGGACAGAGCCTTTATTTCTCCCCTTCCTATGGAGGGTTTGGAGGTGCAAACCTAAGGATTGCTGTTAATAAAGGTTGTCTCAAAGGGGGACCATCACCATGAGGGGAGGTGAGGCCATAGCCCTCCTTAGCAGGAAATGTCTGCTCAGATAAGGATCTTTCTCGCTGTGTCCCCGTGCAGTGGGGCTCTGGTGGCATCCCTTGCAGGTAAACTGATTGCTTTAATCCAAGCAATGGAACTGAGCAGCTAAAATCAGCTCCTCTGCTTCCCCTCCCAGAGCAAGGCTTCCGTTGAGGCCAGATCCTTCCATCAGGACTTTACAAAGCCAGTTTCATTGGTGCCCTGAAGTGTTTTGTTTACTTGTGGAAGGAAAAGTGCCACAGCCTAGATCTTGGCTTTGAGACCTTAGAAATGAGTGGAACAGGAACAAAGTGGAGTTTTGCTGGCTCCAAATCAAGTAGAAAAGAGCCGAAATGGTGAAGTCTGTGTGGTTTAAATACCTTTAATTTGTACCTTGAGTTTTGGAGACGGGAATAAAGGAGATGCTTTAAAACCCTCTTTTAAGTACACTTGAAGGTAGGAATGTGCCCTGACAGCTCTTTCCTATCTCCCGTTTTCATATCATCTCCATGATAACCATCCTGTGCTACATTTGCTCATGTTGCTTTTTCAAGCAGCTCTTCTGGATCTTACTGGCTCTTGCCTGCCCTTTTCAATGCGGTGGTTCCAAACCTGCCAGCATCCACATGTAGCCGGTGGGAAATGCAGCAGAGCCCACCTTGGGGCTGCTCGGCAGCTCCCCACACCAGATAGGAAATGAAGAGCATGGTGGCCTTTAGTGAGGAGTAATGCCATTAGCCTGCCTGATGTCCCTGGACACTGGTGATAAGAGCTAATGGGTGTCTTCCTCCTTGCCCAGGACCTGCTTGCTTCTCCTCAAGCTCAAGGTGCCCCCAGCACCAGGAGGGTACCCATAGACATAGAGGATGTAGCTTTTGGACTGGGCACAGTTCACTGCAGTGCTTGGGATCTTCTTAAACCACTTCTTTAGACTGTGTGTACCTGAAAGGCCCTTCCTTCAGCGGGTGAGGGATGTTCCTGCATCCCTGCAGGAAGGCTGAGAGCTCGGATGAAAGCAGGAGAAAGCCCTGCAAGCAGGCCTCACCCTGCTCCTTGCCACTGTGGTGTTCCCTCTTTGTTCCCAAGGCTGAGGATTTGCTTACAGTGTTCCAGCTTGGGAACAGCACAAAGACAGCTGGGAGGTGGCAAAATGTGGGAATCTGCCTCCGAGTTTCCCTTTACCCAAAGAATCTTCCTGGAGAGCAGGCAGAAAGCCAGGAATTCATTTGACCCAAGGTAGTGTCTGGGATGAGGGCAGCAGTTACTAAATAAGTGACTGGGCTGGCTGGGTGTAGCGTGCTTGGCTGGTGGAGTTGGTTTGAATTGGGGTTGGTTTGCATCTGTCAAGTGCTTCTTGTCTCCCATGAGCTGGGGTGGTCGTTGCTCCCTACCCCCTCCTGGGCAGCTCCTTTCTGGTGGAGCTGAGCAGCGAGTGGGGTGAAATCAAGTCTGTCTGGTTGAGTAATGGTTGTTTGGAGGGCGAGTTCGGAGCCTGGGTTGGGCTGGGAGTGGAGCTCTCCAATCTAGCCCAGATTGCAGGGGTGACTTGGGGCATCGCTGGTTGTGGTTGCAACAGGGTCAGGCAGAAGGGCTGTCTGGACAGTCAGCTGCTTCCACGTGGTCTGGCCTTTGCTTGGGTTCTTGCAGGGCTGAAACACTGAGTATGAACGTTCTGTTCTGGTTCTTCCTGAGCCTAAAACCAGCCAATTCCCTCTGAAACAGGATTAAAAAAAGGAGGTTTTCTCTTCTTGGAGCAGTTTCTCTCCCTTGGGTTTTAAACTTGCTTTTGCTTTGGGTCCCACAGCTCTGACATGTCTCTGCTCCGACTGCAAGCAAGCAAACTCCACGTGCGAAACGGATGGTGCCTGCATGGTCTCGGTCTTCAACCTGGATGGTGTCAAACACCACGTCCGGACCTGCATTCCCAAGGCAAAACTGATTCCTGCTGGGAAGCCCTTTTATTGTCTGAGCTCGGAAGATCTGCGTAACACTCACTGCTGCTACTCGGATTTCTGCAACAAAATTGATCTGATGGTTCCCAGTGGTAAGCAGGGAGCTGGAGAAATGGGATGTGGGAATAAGGAGCTCTCGGCCCTGATTTCACTTCTTCCCCTAGGTTGGAGCATTAGTTTTATTTCCTTGTTATTTCCACGTTGGAGATCAAACTGCTTCAAATGAAAACCTGAAGTTGCTTGAACTCCCCCTGTGTCACCACATGATGAGGTTGGGCCTTAGTGGAGGAAAAGCTTCCAAAGTCTGGGGGTTTTGCAGTTTCACTGCACTCTGTAGCTCCAGCTTCTCTCTGCTGACCAGCCCTGCTGCTAGTTTCCTCCCAGGCCTCCAGAAGCAGCAGCACCACATTCATCTCCAGTTAAATACAAGCTTCTGCTGCGTGATGCTTTGTGCCTGCAGCAGCCTGTGGTCCCTGGCCACAGCTCACATCCCATTCCTGGCTCTGGGTTGCACTCAGATCTGCCTGGTTTTATCAGCAAGAGCTGCTTTCCTTCTTCCAGGCCTGCACATCCTGTCAGTGCTGAAGTATGGGAACGTTGCAGCAGGTTCAGAAGTGTGTGGGATGGAGGGGTTCTGAATACATAAAGAGGAAGCAGCTTTGCCTTTGAAGGGAGGGTGTGGGAAACGTCTGCTTCTTTCTCATTCCTGGGACACAGGGGGCACGTGGTACTTCCTCATACCTCCTTACTCTCCGTTTTGGACTGCTGTTTAGTGGGTCCTCCCTGCGTACAGTGGGGAAGTCTTATCTGGTCTCAATAAGACAAGTAATTGTTGTCCTCAGGTCCAGGTCTTTTCTGGTTGTTACAGGGGGAAAGGGAAAGAGGGAGAAATGAGTCCTTACTGACTGGTTGCCTTTTCTCCCACTTGGAGAGGTCAAGGGGAAGGTAAAATACAGGCTTTTGGAGCAAATCCAGCAAGGAATGGGCTCCTGCCCTCTGCTAAATAGCCAGTAGTGCCCAATGCCACCATCTCTGAAAGTATCTTTTCTTCTCCTCCCTTTCCTCCCAAGGACACCTGAAAGACAACGAACCCCCCTCGAGCTGGGGTCCTGTGGAGCTGGTGGCAGTGATTGCCGGACCCGTCTTCCTCGTGTTTGTTGTCATGATCATCGTGGTCTTTGTTTTTCACCACCACCAACGCGTCTATCACAATCGGCAGCGGCTGGACATGGAAGACCCCTCTTGTGAAATGTGCCTTTCCAAGGACAAGACCTTGCAAGATCTAGTCTACGATCTCTCCACATCTGGCTCTGGCTCAGGTATGAAGATATGACTAGAAATGATGAATGAGACCTTGTCATGGAGTGGAGAAGTCTCTCCTGGGCTCCTGGTTGCCTCAGCTTTGCCCGGCTGCAAGGCTCTTGCCTCATCAGCCTGTTGAGATTGCCTTGGCATGAGTAATGTGAGGGCATGTTTTAGGCAGATGCTGTCAGTGTTCAGGTCAGAGCAGTAGTTCAGCTCCTCAACTCCTGCTATGCTGCTGCAATGGGCTCTCCGTCCTCCAATCCCTTCTCCATAGGTTTGCCCCTGTTTGTCCAGCGGACCGTGGCCCGGACCATTGTCCTGCAGGAGATCATTGGCAAAGGCCGCTTTGGGGAGGTGTGGAGAGGCCGGTGGCGTGGAGGGGATGTGGCTGTGAAGATCTTCTCCTCTCGGGAGGAGCGTTCCTGGTTTCGGGAAGCAGAAATATATCAAACTGTGATGCTGCGCCATGAGAACATCCTGGGGTTCATCGCTGCGGATAACAAAGGTAAAAGGGGTCTGAGAGCAAAGGCTTCCCCCCCGGGCAGGCTGCTCATGGAAGGACCATCTCTTCATTTGAATTTACAGTGAAATGGTTCAAGGATTGAACCAAAGAGCTGCATATCTGAATGTTCTGTGCCAAAAGATGGGGAACTGCTGCTGGTGGTGAGCAGCACGATGGGGCTCGAGCTGCACCTTCAAGTCCTGTTTGGCCTTAAAGTTCGTTACCCCCGGGTTGGCTGTTGAGCTGCAACCCTGCCCTTATCTCTGTCCCCAAAAGCAGAATGCTCTGGGGTTGTGTGCTGAGCACAGTCTCTTTCCTGCTGCAGATAATGGAACATGGACTCAACTGTGGCTCGTCTCTGACTACCACGAGCACGGCTCCCTCTTTGACTACCTGAACCGCTACACGGTGACCATCGAGGGCATGATCAAGCTCGCCCTGTCTGCTGCTAGTGGGCTGGCCCATCTGCACATGGAGATTGTGGGCACACAGGGTGAGAGCTGGAAAAGGTGCTGGGGGTTCTTGAAGGGAGGAGAGTAAAGCAGAACTGGTGAGAGGGGCTAATGTGCTGCACAGCAAACACTGCCTGAGTCAGCCTGGATTCGTCTGGTCAGTACTGAGCAGAAATGGACTGATGGCTTTGGCTGCCTGCAAAGTGGGGTAGCATTTCACCTCCCCGTCCTAAAATTAGTGCTGAATTCCCGCCTCCTTCCAGCCACATCAACGTGGCTGATGCCTGGGAGGATGGAGTCGATGTCCCTCTTGAGGCCTCTGGATGCTACTGCATCCGTTGGCACCACAGCGTGGCAGCTCTGCTCTCATCCAAACAGGAAGATGTGTTGCAACACCGAGAGTTTAACTAAAGCCCTGAAATCCGGTTCTGCCTCTGCACCACGTTTCAGCAGACCTTGACCCCTGCTACTTTCTATTTTGCTCTCTTAGGAAAGCCGGGGATTGCTCACAGAGACTTGAAGTCGAAGAACATCTTGGTGAAGAAGAATGGCACTTGTGCCATCGCTGACCTCGGCCTGGCCGTCCGGCACGATTCTGTTACGGATACCATTGATATTGCACCAAACCAAAGGGTTGGAACCAAACGGTAGGAGAATGGTTTAGTGTTCAGAGGTGGCAGAGTGCACCCAGCAACCACCAGAGCTGCTGCTTGAGCATCTCTGGTTGAGCCAAGGGACCTCATATTGATGCTGAAGGGATGTCAGCACCTTCGTCTCCAGGTGCCGTCGAGCTGAGAGGTGTTAGGGTTACAGAAACCTAGCACCAGGGAGCTCAAACAATACTTGACAACAAGCTTGGCATCCTCAGGAGCCTTTTGTCTGGAGCCTGATGTGCCTTTGGATGTTTTTAACCTCTTTCCCAACTTGCTATTGTTATTTTGTTCACTCTGTTACACCATGGGGCCCAGTTTGACTGCTGGGAAGTGCTTTGTGGGGCAGACTTGCCATAAACCATCTTGCATTGAATCTCAGAGTGAAGCTGCTGTTTCTTTCCTCTTCTGCAGATACATGGCACCTGAAGTCTTGGATGAAACCATTAACATGAAGCATTTTGACTCATTTAAATGTGCCGATATCTACGCCTTGGGCTTGGTCTACTGGGAGATTGCTCGGAGGTGCAACGCAGGAGGTAACACCCTTCATGTCCCCATGCCAGCAGCTCAGCTCCCTCCTGGCTCTCCCAGCCTTGCTGTTCCTGTTGATAGGGTCTTTGAAGGACCCTGTTTGAGGGAGAACAGGGCTGCAGGAGGATGTGTCACCACTGAGGGAGTTAAGTGCCCCAAGAGTGCTGTTAGGAGAGGCCTGTGAGGGTTAATGCTCTCAACTGGTTGCTGCTTATTCTTTGGATGGATGAAGAAGTGGTGATGCCCATCTGGGAGGTGACTTTCTTCCCCTGAACCAGTGTAACTGAATGTGTTGGCATGGCCAGGCAGGCAGGACACACTGTGCTGTGTGTGATGGAGCTGCTGCCCCGGTGCTGGAGGTGGTGATCGCAACGCTCTGACTCCTCCACTTTGGGGCAGCTGTGTTTTATTTCCCTGCATTTTTCTTGTAAACTCAAATCCCAGACTCTTCATTTCTCTTGGAAATAACTGCAAAGCATTGACGCATCCCAGCAATGAGTCATGTCCAACCCAGTGCTGGTCTGCTTCCAGTGAGGCTGAGCCGATGAGCCCAGGAATTGCATTTCCCCTTCTCTGCCCTTCAGGTATCCACGAAGAGTATCAGCTTCCCTACTACGACCTCGTGCCCTCTGATCCTTCTATCGAGGAGATGCGGAAGGTTGTGTGTGATCAGAAGTTACGGCCCAATATCCCAAACTGGTGGCAAAGCTACGAGGTAAGGGCTGCTTCCATCTTCACGTCCCCTTACCCTCCATAAGTGAAGCTCCAGTTTTAGGAGGCTCTACCAATGTCCAGCCTTGCAGCAGCAGCCTGGCAGTTATTTGGGGTAGGGGGAGAGGAGAACCGCTGCCATCTGCCCTTGTTTCTTGCTTAGGCACTCCGGGTGATGGGCAAGATGATGCGAGAGTGCTGGTACGCCAACGGAGCGGCGCGGCTCACCGCCCTTCGCATCAAGAAGACCCTCTCCCAGCTCAGCGTCCAGGAAGATGTGAAGATCTAGGCCCTGAGCCCCAGCAGGAGGAAACTGCACAAAGCTGCCATGCTAGAGTAGACGTGTGATGGAGGCCTACCTCGTGTTTCTGCCCAATCTACTGCTACCAACGAGACAGCGTGACTCCAGGCTGCTAGGTGGGGTGACGGAGCCTATGGCAATGCTCTTTTCCCTGCTTGGGTATGAAACAATCCGAAACCTTTTACGATCACCTCCTGAGAGCGTGAAGACTTCCTAGAGAGGGATTTAACTTGAGGGATCTCAGCCATGATCAGAACTCCTGTTTCTTTAATGGAAATCCCCGTAAAGTTCACCCGTGGGCCGGGATCGAGGCCGGGTGCTGGGAGTGGGAAGAGAAAGGAAAGGTTTCCTTGGCCGTGCTCGGAGGACTTTTTCCAGGGACTGGCACGTTTAATGCAGCAAAAGCAAAACTCAATGGTGCTCCCCTCTGAGAGGCTGAGCCTGAACAGTTATCAGCTTCGTGAAACTCCTGTCCCTCCTTTGTCTTCAGCTTGACAAAGCAAGGCGAGAAGAGCGACGCGTCTGCATGCACAGCGCGTCCCCTCTGCTGCTCAGCTCCTCCTGTAGACGTGCAGTGTCTGCCCGCAGGGTGGCTCATCCCTGTCCGTGCTTCCTGTGCATGTGCAACTCTCTCTCGAGTGTCCTTTCCTTGAGCTGTGCGCGCTGGTGCTCTCCTTGTTGAGTCGTGAGCATTGTCTGCCTTGGACAGGCTGCTTCGAGCCAGCCCCGCTGGGTGCCGGGGCCCTGCTGCCCCTGCTGCAGGTTCTCTCACTGCCACCCCTCCCATTGCTAAGACAAACCACACGAGGAACACTTTGCTCCCAGAACCCAGGGGGGTTTTAGGTCTTCAGCCCTGGGTTTGTGATTCAGGGTGGAAAGAGAGACCTGGGCGATGGAAAGAGGTGCCACGGAGCCACGCTGGGGATGGGGAAGGGGCAGTGCAGGAGACTGAGTGCCCAATCCAGGCACAGGGGCCAGGGGTGCTCTGCTCCTCCTGTGACCCACTCAGGAGCCGACACCAGGCTGTGGGGCTGGAAACCAATGTCCATCATTTTACTATCCATATATAAATAGCTCATAACCTGGAAGTGGCTGTGTATAACGTGGGGTGGGGGGGGATCTGCATGACTTTTCCTTTGATGAAATGCTGAATCAGGGTCAGGTTAGGGATGGGTGACTGTTGGCTGCAGCAGGACCTGGCAGGAAGGGGAGGTGTTGTGCTGAGGGCTAGCCTGGGCAGTGCTGGGCTGTTGGTGTTAGGTCAGTCTCTGCAGTGCATAACTCTGAAGCCATAACTTTTAACTGGAGTGGGTTTGATTCTTATTTTTTATGATGATGATGATGATGATTTTCTGGGAGGGTCTGGATTTTAACTTTTTTGAACTATTGCTACTTCTTTCTACGAGAAGAAACCCCCAAATCCCTCCTTGTTACCTCTTGTTTGTAAAGAAATCACTGCAAAAAAATACCCAGAAAAAAAGAGAAGAAACCAAATGCACACAGCTCGATTTACACTGGAACTGCTTCTGCTCAGCCCTTGCTCCTGCTCTGTGCTGAGGCTTCATCTCTGCTGCACCCCCGGTTCGCTCCCTTTGGTTTACTCTCTTCTTGCTGCCTATGTGTGTCCATGTGTGCGTCGTCCCCGGGCTCCCCGTCTCGTCTGTGACTTGGTGTCAAGTGAGGAGTTTGGGGGTTTTACATCGTGTTTGGAGCCGTTGTGCATCCTCGGGGGGGGGGTTGGTGCTCAGGAGGCCTTGGGGAAGCAGGAGGGGTCCCTGGTGAGGTTTGGAGCAGTTGGAGGCTCCCAGTTGTGAACTTGCAGCTCCCTCCCCTGGGGTTCTGTCTCAGAACTGGGTCTCCCTTAACCAGTCGCATGTAGAAACCGAGGTGGTGCCACTTCACAGAGCCCCCAGAGACACTCCAGCTGCTGCACCAGGGCCCTGCGGAGGAAGAGGAGGATGAGGAGGTCGTAGTGACTGTGAACTGCCATAGGAAAGCCCACGGCGCCAGCAGCTCCATCAGGCCCCTACTGCCCTGCGGGCTCTGTGCCCGAGTGCCCCGTCCCTGCTCCCTCTGCCGGCTGCTGCCCAAGGACCAGCTCAGCTCCGGGACTGGCACTGACGCACTCGCCCCATCCAACTGTAGCCACACATGCATCTGCCTCAGCGCTAAACCAAACAGCAGCCAGAGGAGCCCCAAGGGGTCCCCTGTGAGCAGGAGGAGCTTGGTGTGTGGAGAGATGCCATCGGGAGAGGCTCCCCGAGGAGCACCCGAGGTGGGAACGCTGATTATGTAGCATTTAAACAGCACTTTCCATGCAACCACGTGCCAGGGAGGTGCGGTGCTGACGGAGCTGACTGGGACCAAGCATAGGAATCACTGCCCGGCTCTGGGATGCGCCAGCTCCAGGCAGTTCAGGACAGGGGATGAGGAGGGGGAGATGTCGGGTACCACAGGGCAGAGGTACGGGTGAGCAGGGGTACGCTGGCTTCAGAACCCATCTCTTGGTACTTCCCTGCCCCTTTTTGGTTTGGGTTTTGTATGTTTTATTAGCAATGGACTGTAAAATAGCCACTTAGACACTTTACCTCCAGTATGCAAGTGTAAATACGGTGTAAGATAGGAAATCTTTTTGTTTAATATAAACCGAGGCTGTCGATTTCTGCTGTACATGATTAAAAGGTTGTTTTATTCACGTCAGGTGGTGGAGTCTCTCCTTGCTTTGCTCCATGATCTCCGGGGAGGGGGGGCCTGGGAATCCTTCTGCCCAGATCCTAAAGGTGGGGATGCAGAGGGGAGGATGAGGCAGGGTGGGATTCAAACCCGGCAGGGATGTGCAGCTGAGGCCGGGCTCCCTCTGCAGGGAATGGGAAGCAGGAGGTCATCAACCTCCTGACCCTAACCCTAACCCTAACCCTCACCCCGCTGCCTCCCTGGTACCCAGTAAGCGAGCAGGTGCTGCCGTCCCGTGGACAAAGCTCGGTACTGCAGGTGGTGCCTGATGGAGAGGCGCTGCGTGGCGCTAAGCGCCTTTACTGCTGCCATCCTGTGGACAAAGCTCGGTACTGCAGCCACGGGAGGCGCGGTTGGCGTTCACAGAGGAATCCCTTTGCAAATTCCTTCAGTAACTCCCGCAGCATCTCAGGGTGTGAAATCATGGGCTTCATCCTCCTGTGGTTCCAGTGCTGAAGCACGTAGACTACTTCATTCGGACCTTTGAATAACTAAGAATGGCTTTGTACCAGGAATGGTTAAGTGCTGCTTTCTCTTAATTGACCCTGTCTTGTCTTTTCCAGCCCCTTCCCCAGCTGAAGATGGACAGAAAGGTCCAGGCTTCTAGTCTTTCCATGACTGAAATGGGCTAGACTGGGCTGTGTGTGTGCTGTGCACCTCTGACACTCACCTTATCAGAGTGATCCCATGCTATGCAATGCGTCGCTGCTGGTTTACACTGCTCAGCCCTCCACACTGTTGCTTTAGACTTAAAAAGCAAATCCAAAGTCAGCTGAGGAATCCTGCACCGTTTATTGTCTTGGGTAACAAGCAGCCCGATGCTCGCTTGAACGTGATGGTTTGGATTCAATGAATCATTGTCTTTGTGTCTTACAGATCTATGTTCCCAGTAAGCATTGTAAGCCTGGGCAAAAAGCTCTCCTAGGGATGGTTTGAATCCATTCCGGCTGCTCCCGCTTCTGCCCGGGATTCAGTCCTCAACACGGGGGGATTCTTGTCCTGGGGGGTGGGCTCAGGCCCTGGGGGGCAGCATCGCTTCACCCCCAAGGTGATGGTACCCAACGGTGCCACCCGTGATGCCCCCTGCACTGTTCCCCCCACACACACACAGCATCATCCCTGTGCCCCCCTGCTGCGGTTACTGCTGTGTGTCCCCCCCGGGGGTCCCCCCGATGGTCAGGACCTGGACCCCTATGGAAGGGGCGGGGCTGAGAGCAACTGGGGGCGTGGTCAGATGCTGAAATGGGCGTGGTTTGATGTAGAAATGGGAGAGGTTTGCGCTGGCCCCGCCCCTTCGGGGGCTGATAAAGCGGCGCGCTCGAAGCCGCGTCCCGGCCATGACCCTGCGGCGGCGGCGGCGGCTCCGGCCGAAGGAGGATGCGGTGGTGGCGGCGGCGGCCCCGGACCTGCCCGGCCCCGCCGCCGTTTACCGAGCGCTGGCGGCCGCCGGGGGCACCCTGCCCCGGGTGCGCAAGGTAGGGCTAAGGCCAGGGCGGCGGCGCCTCCCCGCTGCCCCCAGCCCGCTCCCGCTGGGGAGCGCAGCGCTGAGACCGGTATCGGGGCTCGGGGTGGGTGCGGGGATGCGGGGTCGCTGCTGCCTGCACCCTGCGGGGCTGCCCCGGCGGCGTCTCCTGGGCTCATGTCCTTCCCCGACGGCCCCTGGCCCCTTCCCCGTGTCCCCGTCCTGCCCCGGTGACCCCCCCACCCAGCATTCCCCCGTCCTCCCGCAGCATCTTCCCGGTGTCCCCATCCTGCTCCCGTGTTGTCCCCCCAAGCGTCACGTCCTGCCCTGGTTCCTCCTCACGTCCTGCTCTGTGGCTCTGGGGGCGCGGGGGCAGGCCCGCACCCCGGTGGCCGTGGCCGTGTCACAGACATGTCCCTGCAGTCCCACAGGGCTCTGCCCCATGGAGGGGGGGCCACGGGGCTTGCTGGGGTCTGGGCTCGGCTCTAGCGGGACACGCGCCCCTGGGAAAGCCCCTTTCCAGCGGCGTCGGGGCTGTCACCGCCCTGACGCTCCCCCCGGCCCCGCGGCGCTTCCTGAGCGTCGGGGGGAAGCGGGAGCGGAGCCGACATCCGGTGCAAAAGCGGCTCCCGCGGCCCTGCTGGCACCGGCCCGGCCCCCGCTCACCGGCCAAGGCGCCGGCCCCGAGGAGGCCGGAGCCCCCGCGTCCCCTCCCCGTCGCTCAGCGGCTGACGCCGGGCTCGCTGAACGCAGCCGGCGCTGATGGGTTTGCGCTCGGGATGGGGCATCACGGGGCTGGTGGCACTGAGCGGAGGGAGCCGATGGCCCCGCGTGTGCCCCTCCCGAGGCCCGGCTCCCGGGGACACCGGTTATAACGGGCTGCTGCGTGCAGTGGGCGGCCGCGGAGGGGCATCTGGGGACAGCGCTGTCACCTCCTGCCCCGCGGCGAGGGTCCCTCCGCCTCCGCGCCCTCCACAACAGAGACTTTGTCCGGGCCGGGGCGGGGGGGGCACACGACATTTTACATGAGAACACCCGACTTTGTGGCCACAACAGGGCCCCTCTGTGCCTGCGGCCCCCCCCGGAGCGCGGCGTGGGGTGCGGTGATGTGAGGGTGGCTTTGAGCACCCATAAAAGCTTCGTTATGCCCGGCCGGCACCGGTGGGGGGGTTATGGGTGCAGCCGGGTGCTGGTTCGGTGCCGGGCTGGCACGGTGCTGCCCGGGGGTTCAGTGCTGTCCGATGGGACACCCGGTTTTGGCTGTCCCTAGAGGGGGTGGCAGGGGAACGTGTCCCCCCCCGATGCTGTCCCTCTGTTGCAGGGTGCGGGGTTCAAGTGGGGGTCCCGAGCCAGTCTCCAGAGGAGCACAGGTAGGACGGGGGCGTTGGTCCTGGGGTGTGAGCCCACTCTGGAGGGCTGGAAATGGGGGTGATTTGATGGGGTCACAGCTCCCTTTGGGGCCCAGCACCCTTGGAACAAGCTGCAGGGCTCAGGCCAGGGGGTTCCCATCCTGGGGAGGGGGGGTCCTCTGCAGCACAGGGAACACCCAAACCCCAAAGCATCCCAAGGTGTGAGCAGGAGCGTCAGGGCTGGGGGTGCAGGGGGCTCTGCCGTGGCCCTGATCCCTGTGTCCCCCAGGAGGGTGGTGACGCTGGAGAAGAAGGCAGAAGAGACCTTTGGCTTCGAGATCCAGGTGGGTGCCATGGCCATGCCGTGCTGGCCATGGCCATACTGTGCCATGCTGTACTGTGCTGTACCATGCCATACTGTGCTATGCTGTGCCATGGCCATACTGTGCCATGCTGTACCGTGCTGTGCCATGCTGTACCGTGCTGTGCCATGCTGTACCGTGCTGTGCCATGCCATACTGTGCCATGCTGTACCGTGCTGTGCCATGGCCATACTGTGGCTATGCTGTACCGTGCTGTGCCATGCCATACTGTGCCATGCTGTACCGTGCTGTGCCATGCCATGCTGTGCCATGCTGTACCGTGCTGTGCCATGGCCATACTGTGCTATGCTGTACCGTGCTGTGCCATGCCGTGCTGTGCCATGCCATACTGTGCCATGCTGTACCGTGCTGTGCCACCCGAGGCCGTGCTCCCCACCCTTCCAGCCTGCACCTTGCTTTGCATCGAGGGTATTTTTACCCTGTCTCTGAGCCAGGGTCTATTTTCAGCGCTGACGGAGCTGCCTCAATGCCGAAGCCTCCCCCGGCCCTGCTGACACAGGGCAGCCGGGGGGGCACCATATGGGGCGAGAACCCCCCCCACCCGAGGCCTGGTGCTGCCCCACATCACCACAATCACTATTACATGCTGCAGTTGCTCCCTTATTGCCATGGGGAGGGGACTGGGCATTGGGGGGGTTCCTGCCCCTCTCACCAGCCCCCCCCGTGCCCCCATTTCAGACCTATGGGCTGCACCACCAGGACAGGAACAGTGTGGAGATGTTCACCTTCGTGTGCCGGGTGCATGGTGGGAGCCCGGCTGAGGCTGCAGGGCTCAAGGCTGGTGAGCGCATCCCTGGGGGTCGGGGGGGCCCGGGTGGGGAGCAGCATCCCTGAGCTTCTGTGTGTCCCCCCAATGCGGCTCTAGGGGACACAATCACGGGGGTGAACGGGCTCAACGTGGAGGGCGTCCGGCACCGGGACATCGTGGAGATCATCAAGAGCTCGGGCAATGTGCTCCGGTGAGCTGGGGGGTGCAGGGGGGCCCCGGGGGGCACAGCGCCCCTGGTGCTGACGGTGGCTGCCCCATAGACTCGACACGCTCTACGGGACGTCCATCCGGAGGGCTGAGCTGGAGGCCCGGCCTGCAGTACCTGAAGGTGAGGAAGGGGCGCTGGAGGGGGCTTGGGAGGGGCTGGGGACCCCCCATGGGGTTCTCACCCCCTACCCCCTCCCCTGCAGCAAACGCTCTATGAGAAGTGGGGCGAGTACCGCTCGCTGATGGTGCAGGAGCAGCGGCTGGTGCGGGGTGAGTGGGGGCCGGGGAGGGCTTGAGGGGGCTGTGGGGCACCCCCGGCCCCTTTAACCCCCGTGTTTCCACATCAGGCGTGGTGGCCAAGGACCCCAGCATCTACGACACGCTGGAGTCGATCCGCTGGTGCCTGCAGGGCGAAGGGGGGCTCCCCGGCGGCTCCCCCGTGCCAGCGGCAGCGATGACTCCTTGTACCAGACCTGCCTCTTCGCCTCCGCCGATTCGCTGGACCGGGACAAGGACGGGGACAGGGACGGGGACAGGGACGGGGACAAGGACAGGGGCACCTCGGGGCCCGCGCCCCCCCACCGCGCCCCCGGCCAGCCCTGGCCCGCAGCGCCAGCCTCAAGTGTGGGGCGGGCCCGGGGGCGCGGTTGTGGGGCCAGGCCGGGAACCCCGGGGAGGGGGCGGCCGCTGCCCCCCGCAAGGGTCGGCACAGCAGCTTCCGCCGGCGGCTGCTCAAGTTCATCCCGGGGCTGAACCGGGCGCTGGAGGAGGAGGAAAGTCACCTCTAACGGGGGCTACAGAGGGGTCACCTCTAACGGGGGTACAGGGAGGAGTCACCTCTAATGGGGGTTAATGAGAGGAGAATCACCTCTAAAGGGGTGCCAGGAGGAGTCACCTGTAACAGGGGTACCAAGAGAAGCATCACCTCTAAAGGGGTACCAGGAGCAATGACCTCTAATGGGGGTACCAAGAGAAGCATCACCTCTAAAGGGGTACCAGGAGGAGTCACCTCTAACGGGGGTACCGAGACATCCCCGCCCCGGGCCTATTTATTTACTGCAAGGGACTATGAGCCCCCTCCGGGGCCACGGGAGGAGCTCGGGGTCAGCCCCAGGGGTCCTGGCTTGGCCGCTTCAAGCCATAGGGGGCCCCAGCACCACGGGACAGACACGGACACACCCCCACACACACCCCCCCGGCCCGGTGCATGAAGCCACCGCTCACCTCAGGAACCAGTGCCATCCTCACTGGGGACGTGGGGGGGACCCTGCGTGTCCCGTCCCCAGCTCGGGGCTCACGGGGGTCCTGCCCCAGCGGCTTTTGTACCAATACAGAGACGTTTTGCAGTGCTGTGTGGCTGTGACTGGGGTGGACACAGAGCCCGGGGGACGGACGGACGGACGGACACGTGTCCCCAGGCCCCCGCGATGCCCCTTTGCCGGTGTGAGCGATGTCACTGAGGACCCCTCCGTGTCCCCGTGCCCTGGGCCCCGTCCCGGCGCTGCGGGGCCCTGGCCAGGCCCTTCCTGCTCCTGCTTCCTCCGGCAGCCGGCGGGAAGCTGGTCCCAGCCGAGCCCTTCGCCCGGGACGGGCACGGGGGTCCCCGCACACCCCGCCCCGGGGTCCACAGACACACCCCCCCCCCGGTTTCTGCAGCGAGCACCCATGGGTGCAATGGAGTGGCCTTGCACAAGGTCTCCATAGGAGCCTCCAGCGCTCTGCTCCAGGCCCCGTGCCTCAGTTTCCCCTCTGCCTTGCGCCCATCCCTAGCTGGGACATCGTGAATTTGGGGACCCCCCAGCTCTGAGCTCCTGCACCCCACAACTGGGCCCAGGGGTCCGGCCATGGCTCAGCCCCCCACAGCCCCGGGGGGGCTGCAGGAGGATTTGAGGATCAGATCCCAGGGGCTGTGGGTACACGTGTACTACATGTGTGTTACATGTGTGTGCTACATGTGTGCTGCCTGTGTGTGCTGCTTGTGTGTGCTGCGGGGCTGCGTGTGCCCATGCTTGTGCCGTGTGCATGGAGCCGGGCAGGGCCCCCGCCGCTCTCCTGCCTTGTCCCCGTTCCAGCACCGCTCCGTGCTTGGACATTTATGGTCTGGCTCCCGGGGCCACGCTCAGCCGCTGCCAGGGTCGGGGCACCCCGTCCCCGTCATGGCCATCACGGGACGCCCCCTCCCCGTCAGCTGCTGCCCCACACGGGGCTGTTTTTAGCCCGACGTGTGCCAGGCGCTGGCGGGACACCGCGGTCACGCGTGGCCGCAGCGAAGCCGGGCAGTGCTGGGGCTGAGGATGCGGGATATGGGTTGGGAATGCCCGGAGCAGGCGGTCACTGCTGACAAATATGGACTCAGGGCTGCGAGCCAGGGCCGGCCATGTGCATCCTGTACCCAGCACGCAGACGTGGAGCACCCCCGAGGCCGGTGTGAGCCGGGGCTCCCCCTGCGCACCCCCTCATGGCCTTGCCGGGGTGACCGGGCTCCGGTTTCTCTCCACCCCCGGGGTACAGCTAATCCCGTGTGCGGGGGCTGCCGGTGTCACCCGCCTCCCTCCAGCTCTGCTCCCGACCCCGCGCTGCGACCCCAATGGCTCCGGGACTCCCATCGGCTCCGGGACCCTCGGCCTGACCCTGTCTCAGGGGCTCCTCCCCGTACTCCGAGCTGGCACCAGCCGCAGCCCCGGCCCAAGCCCCGGTACCGGCCGCGGGGAGCGGGAACCCCCGGTAGGTGCCGGTCGAGCCCTGGGTTCCCCGCGGGGGCAGCTCCGGTGATACCGCGGGATCCCGGGGACGTCATCGGCCAGGTGTGACGTCACGGGGACGTCTCGCCTGGGGTTGGCGGCGCGAGGGAGCCGGGAACTGGCGGCGGGAGAAGGCGCCGGTACCCCCGGTATCCCCCGGTACCCTCGGCACTCCCGGGACCCCTCCGGTGCGAGTTTCCCCCATCGCGGAGCAGGCTCCTGTGAAGCCGGGCAGGGTCCCGGCATCTCCTCCTTGGGCCCCGCTCCCCACCACTGCAGCTCCGACTCCCCGGGGATGGGAGGGTGCCTGAAAAGCACCCCCACAGCGCGGACTGCTATTAGCGAGGACACGGCGACACCGGCCCCAAGGTCTCTCCGCTCCCCCGGTCGGGGCTCTGCCGCTGCTGGGGGGCTCTGCGGAGGTGGCACTAACGGGGGTGGCCATTAACGAGACTGACAACCCGGGGAGGACGAAAGAGAACGCGGGCCTGGGCCCCTCAAAACCCTCGGTACCGGGTATCCTTGGGTACCGACGTAGTACCGGGGGGCACAGCGGGGTACGAGGGCGGTAACGGGGGGGGCACCGAGACACCCTCCGCCCGCCCCTCGCCCTCCCGTCGGCCCGGCCCGGCCCCGCACAGGCTGAGCTCATCTTTCCAGCCCGCGGGCGGTGTTCCTGGCGCTGGGAGCCCGCCAGCAGCCGCCGCTCTTTCCATCAGCCCGGCCAAGGGTCTCCCCCGCGGGGACCGGGTGTGAGGCGGGACCCAGCGTCCCCTGCAACCCCCCCCCGGTACCCAGCCATTGAGCGGGAGGAGATCGGGGGTACCGGCACCAAAAACAACGGAATAAGGGGCAGTGGGCATAGCGGCACCAGGGACACAGGAGAGCAATGGGGATACTGGCATCGGGGATAGCAGGGATGAGGGTGCCGGGGATACCGGCACCTTGGAGAGCCCCGGAGATGGGAGTACCGAGGTAGAGGCAGCGAGGGGGCACTGGAGACGGGGGCATCGAGGGGGTACCGAGGGTGGGAACACCACGGCTAACAGCACTGGAGATACCTGCACCAAGGGGCACCGGGATGCCAGCGCTGAGGGGGTACCGGGCAAAGCGGCACCGGGGAACCAGCGGGGATAACGGCACCGGGAGATGCCAGCAGCGGGGTACCGGCAGCGAGGGGACACCGGGGATACCCTTCCCCCGCCCTGCCCTTCCCGGTGCCGACACCGGGGCCTCCCCCCCCGGGTCCCCTCCCCGTCCAGCTCCGGGAGCCCCGGCGGGGGGGGGGGGGGGGGGGGGGCGGGGGGCTCCCGCGCTATTTTTAGCCGGGTCCGCGCGAGTATTTTTAGCGCGAGCGCCGCGGTTGCGTCAATGGAACCCCGCGTGCGTCACGGCCGCGCCCCCGCCGGAACCGCCCCCCCCCCCCCCGCCGCCGTGCGTCACGGACCCGCGCACCGCCCCGCGCGTCACCGAGCGCTTAAGAGAAAGTAGTGGCGGAGCCGGAGCCCGGCGGAGCCCGCGGAGGAGGAGCGGGAGCGGAGCGGGAGCGGAGCGGGAGCGGAGCGGGGCGCCGGCACCCCGGTACGGGCGGCACCGAGCGGGGGCAACGGGAGGGAAAAGGGGTCGGGAGTCCCGGTGGCACCGGAGGCTCAAGGCGGGGGGAGTTCTGCAGAGGGGTCGGGAGTGCCGGTGTCACCGGGACGAGACGGATCGGGCGTCCCAGTGGTACCGGCGGGAACCGGGTCGGGAGTCCCGGTGACACCGGAGAGAGCAGGGTCGGGAGTCCGGTGGCACCGGAGGCTCAGGGCGGTGGGAGTTCTGCAAAGGGCATGGGTCGGGAGTCCCGGTGACACCGGCGGGAGCCGGATCGGGAGTGTCGGTGGCACCGGGGGAAACCGGGTCGGAAGTGCCGGTGGCACCGCGGGAAACCGGGTCGGGAGTGACGGTGGCACCGGGGGGAGCCGGGTCGGGCGTTCCAGTGGTACCGGTGGGAACCGGGTCGGGAGTCCTGGTGGCACAGGAGGCTCAGGGCTGTGGGCGTTCTGCAAAGTGCATTGCATGGTGTCGGGCGGCCCGGTGGCACCGGGGGACTCGGGTGCTTCCTGTCCAAAAGACAGACGAGTCCCGGCGAGCCCCGGTGCCACTGGAGAGGGTGGAAGGGACCGGACGTTGTGCACCGTGCGGGGCTGCCCCTCGGAGGCAGCGGGGAGAGCCGGGAGGGGAGGGGCATGGGTCCTGAGGGTCCCGGGGACTGCCTGACACCGGGCTCCCGGAAGAGCTGTGCGGAACCGGGAGCCGTTTCTCCCTATCCAGCACGGGACACCCCGCCGGGGACACCCCACCGAGCAGAGCTGGCACAGAGCCAGAGCGGGCAGCACCATGCGGGCAGGAGTGTGGGGGCAGCCACCGGGGGCATCATGGTGTGGGCAGGAGGTGCAGGTAGTGCAAGCAGGGGGTGCAAGCGGTAGGGCAGTCAATGGGAGCAAGCAGGGGGTGCAGGCAATGAATGCAAGCAGAGGGTGCAGACAGGTGGTGCAGGCAGGTGGCAGGCAATGGGTGCAGGCAGTGGGCCAGGCAGGGGGTGCAGGCAGGACGTGGGCAGTGTTACCTGCTGCCGGCTGCTGTCACCCGCCCGCAGCACAGGGCCCCGTGCCAGGGGCTGCCACCAGCCCGTGCAGGCAGCACCCATCGTGCGCAGGCACGGGCAGATGCCTGCACTCCTGGATCAGGAACCTGCAGTTACTGCCCAGGCCATGGGCAGCGCAGGGGCTGTGGGGGAGATCTGTGCCCTGTGGGGATTCATGGCAGGGGGACCCCAAATGCCACCAGCGAGGGGGAAAGTGTTTGAGTAAGGAAGCACCAGTGTCCTCCGGCTGTGTGCAGGGACAGGAGGCAGTTGGGGGGAGTCACCATCCCTTCTGAACCCACCGCAGGAGCACATCACAGCCACGATCCCTGGTGGATGGTCCCAAACCAGGTGCCAGGGCTGGAACCAGCCTGGGTATTTTTAACCCTGGCTCCGGGGGCAGGGATCGGCTTTCCCGGAGCTGGGGAAAGCTGCCCGGGCTTGGCTGGGGGAAGCCGGTGACTGAGCTGGCAGTGGGGCCGGGGCTGCCGGGGGCCGGGCACGCTGTGACCTTTAAAGGTCTGCGAGATGAATTACATTATCATCTTGCCACCGGGTCACTCCTGCCTCGGCTTTCAGCTGCACCGGGACTCCTCTTGTGTCCCGCAT